ATAGAGATACTATATTTAAGGAAATTTACTATCACCGAAGAGACTTTGTACATTTCCAAAGCCTATCATTGGCTTACTATCAAAGGCTTTACGGTCATTGATCCAAGCTTTGTTGAGATTTCTACATTTTTCCTGCAATTTTCCAGGACGATTTTATTTATTAATAGTTGATCGTTGAAAACATATGAGCTTCTTCGGTATCCTATTTGTTCTATGGAAAGAATGTTGCTTTCATCGAGAAAAGATGAAGTACAATAAGTCTGTACAGACGTGATAATTGATATGTGGTGGACAGATATGTCATTGGACAATGATTAAATCCTCTGTTTCACCATTCAAATGGTAGGGAATATATAATAATTTCAATAATTCATTCTGAAATATTATTAGGATTATCAATTAGCATTGACAAACTTTGCACAAGGGTTTTCTGGATTGATGACAGATGATAGAGTCATCTGTTATCTGTCACTTATAAAATCGGGCACCTTGTCATTTCCTGGGATTTTTATTTTGGGGATTTTCTTAGAGTTTGTCTAACATTATTCGTGCTTATATTTTTTCATTCTTGTGCAAGTTTATCCTTCATTGTTTCTTGTTCTCTTTTAATCCAATCTGCATAGGTATTATATTCCTTTGGATTGCTCCAAATATTTTCCCAAGATTTTTTCATTCTTCAAAAGATGGCGGCTCTGACTTCTATAACTTCTTTTCTAATTTCCCTGTAAAGCTTCTTGAGTTTTTTTCGAAATTTCAACCACCCGAAAAAGGCCGGAGCGTACAACGGCCGAAACGTTGTGATAAATATGGCGACAAAGATGAGGACAATAGTCTGAATAATGTAAATAATGTACATAATAACTCATCTCAGAAATATAGACAGATTCTTGAGTTTTGTTGGTAATATCTTATTTTGTCGATAGAACCTACAACCTTTTTTCATATCGACTGATACCCTATGCCTTTAATTACAACTTCTGCTTAAGTATTTTCTTGATTGGTGGAATTTCATTTACTACTTTCATTTTATATTTCCTCTTGATTCTCCTGCATTTTCGTGTGGAAATATTTGAGTTTCTTAAAATCTCATCTAGTATCGGTAATTCACATCAGATTTCCTCAATTTCTTGCTTTAATTTTCCCTCCAAATATTTTTTTCTTGTCTGTTGTTTAATATTTTCCTTGGCTTGATATTAAGTTTTCTAGTAGCCGCTAAAGCTGTTGTATATATAACATTATTTAATTTTGGGATTTTTTTCCTATTGTCTGTCCGTTAACAACGCCTACAACGTCTTATTGGACTTCGTCATGTAGATTTTTGGAAGCTGGTCTCTTTCTGACATTTGTGTGCCAGTTACTTTGCTGATTGTTTGAATGATGTGTTTTTTTTTGGGGGGGGGGTTGTTTTTTGCTTCAGTGGTTACAACTTTGTTGTTTTCAATGAATTCTGCTCTAATCTAGTTAGATTCGTCTTCATCATTGACAACGTCTGAATAAGTGAAATTGTTTATGTCGCAGCTAGGTTCTCCAATTTCATTTCCCAACAGATCACTATTTTGTATCATATTTATTTGCATTTTTACCTCATCCTCCTTTTTGTTTAAGTTACCGCTTTTTGTACTTTGTCTAATATTTAGTTGTGCTTCATCTATTTCTACATTTGATAGCTTTGTATTTCGCATGATGTCCCTGCAGACATTGGCAAATTTATTTGAGTCGAGATAGAGTCTTATTTTAGTTCCTACCATATTTTTCCATATTTGGTATGTCTGATCCGTAATGTTCTTTTAAGGATTTTTGAGTGCAGTTGAAAAAGATGCCACGAATTATTTGTATTCGCGATTCCATTTCGTCCGCTTTCTTTGGATTAATTGATTTGGCATAGTGTCGTAATGGCCAGTGATGGAGCTAATCTAATCCGACTTTGATGACTAGGTGGCTCATTGTTTGTGCAAAAGTTTGTTCCAGTGACAGATTTTTCGACCCCAGACTGCTTCATCTCTGAGGGACGCAGCTCTTGTTGACCAGGACGACGATCGATTCGGTACGAGTTTTGTTTGTAAACATTGAGATTTTCTTTTACGTCTTCTTCTTAACCGCCAAGGCGCAGTCTTGTTGAAGACATCCCACCCCACCCGACCCCACAGGACAACAGACTGTCAACCAAAACTAAAGAGCTCGTCTTGCTCATGGGACACGGCTGACCAACCTGCCGAACGTCATCCCGTTATTTCTAGGCCTTGCGGAGTTTTATTTATGCATTTATTATTATTATTATTAGTAGTAGTAGTAGTAGCAGTAGTAGTAGTAGTAGTAGTAGTATAATCAATCGTTTAGTTGTATATAAAAGTCTAGAAATAAAGTAAAAACAAATAAAATTAATAAAATAAATCAAATGAAAAAATAAATGGTTAAACTTTTTTTTTTTTTTTTTTAAGCATTTCACCCCAAGCAAGGCGGGAAGCCACTAGGACGCAAGGGGTTACAGAAAATTTAGAGCAAGATCAGATAGGAGTGATAGAAGAAAGGATGAGGGTAGTGGATAGATCAAGGCAACTGGAGATGTCGATTGACATTACACTTGAATAGCTGGAGATTATAGCTCACATGGAAACAGGAGAAGGGTAGGGAGTTCCACAGGCGAGAGGTGCGAGACATGAAGCTATTAGAGTAGAAGAGACGGCTACATTTAGGAGTTTCGATTATGAGGGGGTGAGAGCGGGATGCCAGCCTCGTGAGGCGCTGGAACTCATGACGTCTGGGAACCAGCGAATGTAGCTCCTCGGAGCAATTTCCATGGAAGTATTTGTAGAACAGACAGAGGGAGGCGACGGCGCGTCTGTGAGAAAGTGACTGTAGACGAGACGCCAGGCAGGGCCAACCACATTGCATATCCGCCTCTGGAGCCTATCAAACACCCGGAGGAGGCAAACAGAGGGGGCACCAGACCATATATGGCAGCAATACTCCATGCAATGGCGAATTGTTGATTTGTAGATCTGGAGTATCGACTCCGGGGAGAAAAACTTCCTAGCGCGGCTCAGGGAGACAACTTTCCTTGCAGTGGACGAGGCAATTGACTCAATGTATTTATTCCATCTCAGGTCAGCAGTCAACGTGAGACCGAGAAGCCGCAGAGAGTTGCTCTCGAAAAGAGGTGGTGCAAGGCCGAAAGTATGGAGCACCAGCAAAGATCGAATTTATTGCTCAGTCGTAATTGTTCTGCTAACCATTGCACCACGTCCGGTTGCCACGTCTACTCAAATATGGGTATCCACTAAAAATATCGTTTAAAGTCGTTAGAACGTTCGCTTTCTAACCAGGAGACCCGAGTTCAAATCACACCATGGTCGATTTGTCAGGAAGGAGACTTCCTAACGTTATCGGTCTGGAGGGGAACCAGCTAAAGTAAGCATTAGGAAACTGATATTAGGAAAAAATTTATTATTATTGATATTATTAATATTATTATTATTTCTATTCTTCCTCCTCTTCTTGCTCTTATTATTATCATTATTTTTCTTATTATTGTTATTGTTATTATTATCATTATTTTATTATTATTATTATTATTATTATTATTATTTTCTTGTTCTTATTATCATTTTTTTGCTTATTCTTATTAATATTATTTCATTATTTTTCTTATTTTTTACTATTTATTATTATTATCATTATTTTTATTCTTATTGTCATTATTATCATTTTTTTATTATTATTATTATTATTATTTTTCCTCTTTTCATTATTATTTTTGCTTCTTGTTTTTATTATTATCATTATTATTTTTACCATCATTATTATTATTTTCTTCTTATTATTATTATTATTAGTTTTCTTATTATTATCATTATTATTATTTTATTATTATTATTATTTTTCTTACTATTATTACAATAATTATTATATTATTCTTATTATTATTATCATTATTCTTATTATTATTATCATTATTTTATTATTATTATTATAATTCTTATTATTGTTTTTATTCTACTTAATTTCCCTTCTTTTTCTTAGCATTTTTTTTACTATTAAAAGTATCATATTATTATGGTATTTTTCGTCGGTACCAGCTGATCTATGATACCTAGATATACTTCAACACTCGCCTGTCATTAACCAACTGGGAACTGCACTAGGAAGAAACGAAAAAGAAAGGAAATACCGGTGAAGCTATTACTGATAATGGTAATAAAATTAGCCATAATGCTATTTTTCTTTTATTTTGGTTTATGTTCAACTGCATTGATAGCTTGCTTTTTAAAAATGTTTCCTACATGGCTTTATTGCTGTAATCCTGTATGATTGTTTCAATACTCTGATTCCCCCGTTTCTTTTTATATATAGTAATGTCGACATAGTTTCTGTAATGTTTTCTATTGCGTTAATCTCCTTCATGTCCCTTCTGCCAGTGGGTGATCAAGGCTCCCTACAAATTCCTGTCCTTTGTAGCTCTCTGTTATCTTTAACTTTTGCTGTCCCTCCTAAGCCGATCATTGGCACGAATTCGTTAAGTATTCTCGATGTCTTCTGCTTTCCCTCTTAACTTCAATATATCCTGTTAGTTTCAAATTCTCCAAGCCTTCGTACATTATTATGTTCCCTAGAAGTTCAACTGTCACTTTCTGATTTATTCTCTTTTGTTTACTATTTTCCTTAAGTCTTTGTCGTTGCTTACATCTCTATCTATAGTATTCTCATTATCCTTCTGTAGAAACACATTTTATTTGCCTCAAGTCTCTTCTTTATTTGTGTCCGTTGCTAAATAGGAAGATTGATATTGCATTAAAGGTCAGCAGACTGTTCTTTGTATAAAACAAAATCTTGATTCTTGATACTCTGCTTAGCTTCTGGAAGGGTTATTTCGCTAAATCTGCTGTGCCTTCGTATCTTCAAATATTCCATCCTTTGTTAAAACACTTTAGCAATATTTCGCAGTCCTCCCTAATTTGACGAGCAGGAGTTGACGCTTAAACAGGAGAGAGATAATTAGAGACTATTCTGAATGGAGAAAGAAAGAAGAGAGTATATCGAGAGACATACCAACAAGGGGGGGGGAGTGAGAGAGAAAGAGATAATTAGAGACTATTCTGAATGGAGAAAGAAATAATACAGTGTATAGAGAGACATACCAACAAGGGGAGAGAAAGTGAGAGAGAAAGAGAGAGAGAGATAATTAGAGACTATTCTGAATGGAGAAAGAAAGAAGAGAGTATATCGAGAGACATACCAACAAGGGGGGGGGGAAGTGAGAGAGAAAGAGATAATTAGAGACTATTCTGAATGGAGAAAGAAATAATACAGTATATAGAGAGACATACCAACAAGGGGAAAGAAAGTGAGAGAGAGAGAGAGATAATTAGAGACTATTCTGAATGGAGAAAGAAATAAGACAGTATATAGAGATATACCAACCAGAGACAGAAAGATAGAGAGAGAAATAATTAGAGAGTATTTTGAAAGGAGGAAGGCAGGGTTAACAAAGAAAGGAATCTATTAGAATGTTTAGAGAGAGGGACACCAAGGAAATAGAGATAATGACACCGGATTTAATAGAAACGAAAAGAAAATGGGAGAAAGAATTGCCAGGTCAACATAAATATTGAGTGATAGTAATAGGAATATATATATATATATATAGAGAGAGAGAGGTCTTTGTAGGAAAGTGATAGAAATACAAGAATGAATACATAGAGAGGGTGCTGTAGATCGATTGAATGAAAAGATTAGAGAGAGGAATACCAATAAGAAAAGAAAGGGCATCACGATAGAATAGAAAGAAGGAGACACGTGAGAATATGGGAAAATGAAGTGGACGATGGAGACGGAATTACAGAGGTTAAATGAAGACAAAATATTAATAAGAATGATGAGAGAGAGAGGTGGGAATAGTAATAACATAGAGAAAAAGAGACAGGTAGATTAATCGGATAGATAGATAGATAGATAGATAGATAGATAGATAGATAGATAGATAGATAGATAGAGAAAATAATTTGATAGATATACAGATCGATAGAGATATAGAAAGAAAGAAAAAACTACGATAGATAGATAGATAGATAGATAGATAGATAGATAGATAGATAGATAGATAGATAGAGAAAATAATTTGATAGATATACAGATCGATAGAGATATAGAAAGAAAGAAAAAACTACGATAGATAGATAGATAGATAGATAGATAGATAGATAGATAGATAGATAGATAGAGAAAATAATTTGATAGATATACAGATCGATAGAGATATAGAAAGAAAGAAAAAACTACGATAGATAGATAGATAGATAGATAGATAGAGAAAATAATTTGATAGATATACAGATCGATAGAGATATAGAAAGAAAGAAAAAACTACGATAGATAGATAGATAGATAGATAGATAGATAGAGAAAATAATTTGATAGATATACAGATCGATAGAGATATAGAAAGAAAGAAAAAACTACGATAGATAGATAGATAGATAGATAGATAGATAGAGAAAATAATTTGATAGATATACAGATCGATAGAGATATAGAAAGAAAGAAAAAACTACGATAGATAGATAGATAGATAGATAGAGAAAATAATTTGATAGATATACAGATCGATAGAGATATAGAAAGAAAGAAAAAACTGCGATAGATAGATAGATAGATAGATAGATAGATAGATAGATAGATAGATAGATAGATAGATAGTGACAAGAAAGAAACTGGGATAGATAGACAGATTGATAGTGACAAAGAAATAATAAAAGAAAGAAACTGAGATAGATGATGAAAATAATTTGATTGATAGATATATAGACAGATAGTGAAAAGAAAGAAAGAAAAAAACTTAGACTGACAGACAGATAGATGATGATGATGATGATGATGATGATGATGATGATGATATACCTACATATATACATACATACATAAAAAGAAAGGGAAAAAAAGACAGATACACTGATATGTGAAAAAGGTACCGTCTGACCCCGTGTAAAATATACAGCAATTCTTAAATTTGTCTGAAAAATAAAAACGTTTATTAACAATTTGTCTGAAATTAAATAAAAACGTTTATTAACAATTTGTCTGAAATTCGAAATATTTAGTGAGGTCACCACAGAGTTTCCTTTCGCACCGGGAGAAATACATTTTATGACAAAAAGTAATAAACGTATTTTTTTTCTCATTGAATTCATACTGGAAACAAAAATATATTTATGAGAAAGAAAATTATATATGCATGAATCATAAACTGCCCCAAAATCGGTGAAAGCATTTTTTCAAAATAAAGACAAGTTCTATATATATATATATATATATATATATGTGTGTGTGTGTAGAGAGAGAGAGAGACAGACAGACAGAGACAGACAGAGACAGAGAGACAGAGACAGAGAGATCGAGAGAGATACAGACCGAGAGATACAGACAGAGAGACACAGACAGATAATGACCAAGAAACGCAGAATGAAATAGATAGATAGAAAGATAGTGACAAAGAAAGAAAGACAGAAAGAAAGAAACTGAGATAGATAGATAGATAGATAGATAGATAGATAGATAGATAGATAGATAGATAGAAAATATAACGAGCAATAAAAATCTTGTCGGCATTAAATAACCCATTGAGGTTGATATGCCGTAAAACAAACCAAACCAAACCAATATATACTTAGATAGATAGATAGATAGATAGATAGATAGATAGATAGATAGATAGATAGAAAATATAACTGGCAATAAAAACCTTGTCGTCATTAAATAACCCATTAAGGTTGATATGCTGTAAAACAAACCAAACCAAACTAATATATACTTACTTAGATAGATAGATAGATAGATAGATATGCATATACAGGATGCATCAAAACTACTTTTACAAACTTCGAGAGCCTCAACACAGCAACTCTTAACAAATGTTCAAAATGTCCCCCGCTTGCTTGTACACACGTATGCACCCGTCTGATCATTGACTGGTGGACCGTTTCAAACACTTCCATGCAGTGTGGAATGGTTTCGCAAGACCCCATGACACGCTGATGAAGCGTCTCTGCATTAGTAATGTCTACTCTGAACCCACAGATAAAAATCCCAAAGGACTGAAATCAGACGAACGTGCAGACCATGAAGCACTTCCCCGCTACCTATTTGTCTGATAGATGTTAGCTGTTGTATCGTGGACAATATGACTAAAATATGCTGGAGCCCCATCATGCACGGACCAAAAGAACCAGCAGGGGTGCATCCCCTAGCAGGTGTGGAGATGTGTTCGAAATAATGACCCTGTATACAGCTCCTTAAGACGTACTGGGAGAACATATGAAGCAACAATTCCAGCCCACACATTAATCGTAAAGTGATGCTGGTGACTAGCTTGTATTGTACCATGAGAATTCCGATCCACCCACAAATGGTGGTTGTATAAATTAGTTATTCTATCCCTTCCAAATGTTATCTTACCCGAAAACAAGAATGAAAAGACAAACAACGAATCGACAGTTTGTGTAATAAATTATCTGTAAAGGTTCCCCCGTGGTGAGTGACGAGACGGCGAAAGACCCTATTCGCGTTGCAAATGATAAGAATACAGGAGATGCTATTGAAGTTCACTGTGACAAAAAAGAACACCATGGCGCAATTCACTCCGACAGAAACTTAGAAACAATACGCTGTAAAACTTGGCATTCGCACCAAAAACTGCAATACGAACATTTCAGAGTGTTTTGCAGTCAATCTGAGAACAGTTCAGAGAATTCAGAAAGATTTGGATGACATATCCAGACAAAATCATAGTGTTTGGAGTGATCTTTATTGATGGCAACGTAATGTCTCCATTCATCTTCCCACATGGCCTGAGACTCATACAGAGGCCTACATCAAGTGTCTTGAGCAGGTAGTGCTGCCCTGGGTCAAGAGGGTGGCTGCTGGAAGAGCTATGTCTAGCAGCAGGACTCAACACTATATCACACAAGCAGGAGAAAAGTCATGGCTGTCAGCCAATTTCTGAAACCACATCACACCTTACATTTCTCCACCTAACTCCCCAAACTAATGGTATCTTAATTCCAATTGTACGAATATATATATATATATATATATATATATATATATATATATATATATATATATATTTAAATGTGAATTAAGATACCATTAGTTAATGAACCATTTCCACCTGCGAATTCGCAGGTGGAAATACAAATCGTATCTTAATTTCAATTCTACGGAAAAATGATTTTGCTAAGGTTTATGAAAATAAATATTGAGAGCTCTCTCTGAGTCAGTTTTAACATTTAATATTCAATATTTTAAATTCTCTATTGCGTTAATAGGACTCGCTTGTATTATACCAACGGATTACTACTATATATATATATATATATATATATATATATATATATATATATATATATATATATATATATATATATAATATATATATATATATATATATATATTACAAAGAGTTAATCATACCTTGAATCAATTAACTCTTTGTAATATAAAATATATGCTGCCGAATTTATTATGTTCATATATCTATATATATAAATATATATATACTCTGTACTAAATGATATATTAAAAATGACCAGGAAATTCCATTCTTAAGGCCGAAAGACAAAAATGAACCAGTGAGAAATTTAAGTATGTACGTTCTGAATTGGATATGCCATTGCATAAATGAGAATCTTTTCTCTCTCTCTCTCTCTCTCTCTCTCTCTCTCTTAGGAAACGGCATCGATCTGTCTACAGTCAGAAGAAAGATTGATAGGCTTTATTGATTCGAATTCAGGAATAAAATATTTTCATTATTAATTTCTTGACGAGATTTTCTTAATCAAAGTGATTTCTTCGCAACGTCTACTCAGATGGCCTCAGATTTTTACTGTATGTAGCATAAAATCCCATCCCAGATTCCCTGAGCTCTCCTCACGTCGATGGTACCTGAACGAAATTGGTCACACGGTGTGCATTATTTCGAGATGAGGTATAAATATGCACTCATATTACCACAACGTTCATCTAACTAGGCCTTATTTGGAATGGCATAATTGTAATATTTGTAATATTCGTAATAATATCAGTACTAGTTGGAGGAGTAGTAATTTTATGTTATATGTATTTGGATATTTTTGCTGGCTTTCCTTCTTAATTTTGCGTTGTTACAACGTTCTGAATTGGATATGCGCATGCCATTGATATTAGTAGTATAAAATCGTAAAAAATGTAGTGATAGATAGATAGATAGATAGATAGATAGATAGATAGGAAGGAAGGAAGGAAGGAAGCAAGCAAGCTTTCATCAGTACTGGAAAGAGCGATAACAATTACTAGACGGGAGAAAGCTATTTTGCTGAAAAATAGTTTTAATAAAAAGGTTCTATTAATTTCAACTGAATGTAACACTGGCTGCTCGGTCAATGAACGCTGAAAGGAGGCTCTTAATATTATCATTTGTGTTATATGGATTCGTGGCCGAATGATTAGAACTTTAGCTTTCTGACCATGAAACCCGGGTTCGGATCTCACCATTGTCAATTTGTCAGGGGAAATGGCTAAATCAGTATTCAAAGTAGAAAATCAAAATTTCCAGGCATTATGGAAGGGATGCATGGCTACCCTAAGTAAAATTACAACTATTTACGGTATTTCCTCGATCCCGCCTTATGATGGCGTCCAGCATGAAACAGCGTGTCGCCTCTGAGTGTTGACTTTAATGTTTATATTTACATACGCTCTATCTCTGATATTTAGCACTTTATCCCATAAATACAGTACATCTTAAAACTATATATATATAATTTTTTTTAAATATGATTCCTTCGCTACATAAGAGTTCTCATGTTTCAAAAACGAGAGCCGAAATCATCCAAATAATTATTAAAATTAAGTTGAATTGTGGTGTTTAGTCCCGTTTCATCTTCAAGCGAAATTTTAGGAATCTCTCGCTTTACGTGTATTTTTAGGCATGGTCCGTTACAGAATTCGTTATTGTGGGAGTGGCTAGACTACTTTCCTTCGTTAAGTGGTCAGAGAGTTAATTCTTATCAATAGATTCATCATCTTCTGAGAGGTTTTGCTAAGGTTGGGTATGGTATCTATTTCAAGGCTAATGTTTGCGGTCATCCTTTAGTTGGTTCCCAGTGAGGGATATTTTTATGGCGCGCCTACAAGTCGTTATGTGTCAGGAGAATTGTCTTTTATTATTGTCCATCTGATTATCTATTTATTTATTTGTTTATTCAAGTGGGTGTTTTATATACAAATCGTATTGCACTGAATTTCATTTTTTTTTTTTTTTTGTTTTTTGACGACTACAAAAAGGGCTTTTCCTATTTAATGATTTGGCTAAGCTTTTAAGAATTTTACTTAGCTATGGGGTTTTTTATGCTAATTATTTAATGAGAAAGTTTGTTGATGTCGACAAAAAACCGTTAACTCCTGCCTATGGTTTAATAATTTTTCAATATTTTGAAATTTAATGATGTGTAGTTTTTCGTGTAAGCATAAAGGGTATGGGTCATCCCAGGTTTTACAGGTTCTTGTTTTATTTACTATTTACCATTTTACTTTTGGTGTTTTATTCGTTTCTTTTAAATGCCAGAAATATTGGGATAGAGATGTCTGATTCTATTTTGCATATTGTTGAAGGACCTCTTGTGTTGCCTCCATCTAATTTTAAAATTATTCTTCGTTGAGCCTATGTATATCCTATCAGTGTTAGGACTGAGTCCTAACACTGATAAGATATACTTAGGCTAAAAAGAAAAACAAAAATACTATTAAAAATAAATCAAAAATACTAATGAACCCCGGATTCTGCACCCAACGTGTTCTTTTCTATTTTCTGCATACCTACGCACTTATACATACATATATATATATATATATATATATATATATATATATATATATATATATATATATGAGTGTTGACTTCAATCTTTTACACTTTTATATTTAGATTTACACACGCTCTATCTCTGATATTGAGCACTTTATCCCATATATGTGTGTGTGTGCATCATAAAAACAATTTATACAAAGAATTAATTAGCAATGTTAATGTGATTAATAATGAAAACATAATGGTAAGAAGAGTTAATGAGACATTAATTTACTATCAAATCATAGTAAATTAATGCCTCATTAAGTCTTGTTAGTGAAGGATTAATCACATTAACATTGCTAATTAATTCTTTGTATAAATTGTTTCTTTAAAATATAAAATATAAGCTGCATATATATATATATATATATATATATATATATATATATATATATATATATATATATATTGATATCAGAGATAGACCGAATGTAAATATAAAAGTGAACATTGAAGTCAGCACTTAGAGGCGACAGGCCGTTTCATGCCACCTCTCAGGCCTGACGATTGCATATAGCATGAAACAGACTGTCGCCTCTAAGTGTTGACTTCTATGTTCACTTTTATATTTACACACGCTCTATCTCTGATATTGAGCTCTTTCCCTTAAATATAGCACACCTTAAGACTATATTTCTTCATATATATATATATATATATATATATATATAATTCATTCTTTTATTTATTAATCCAACATATTTTATCACTTTAAACATTATTTGAGTAGATTTTAGTTTCACCTGAATATTCCAGGACACTCATTAAAGAAATAATGGGTCCTCCGTCAGGATTTGAACCCGCATACTATCCCCACCTTTTTAAAGTTGGGTGTATTTTCTTTAATAAAATGTAGTTTAGATGTGGAACAAGGTGGAAAGCATGAGGCACCCAGTGAGCATCGAACTCACTACTTAGTCCTAATTGATCTAGTGAGACAAACTTGTTAACCATTACACCACATCGAGGTGACCACGTCTACTCAAATATAGGTATCCACTAAAAATAACGTTTTAAGTGATAAAAATGAATGTATGTATGGCAGAGTGTTTAGAACGTTCTCATTCTGACCATGAGACCCGAGTTCGAATCTCAGCATGGTCGATTTGCCAGGAAGGAGACTTCTTGATATTATTGGACTGCTGGGGGAGACGATTTTTGGAAAGTGCCTGAAAACCATACCACGGGTTGACACAATCCTTGTGAGTGAAATTAGGTAGACGAAACCCTTGGGACCGCCGATAGCTGTCACGCTAGAAACTTTAACTAAGGTCTGCTCAACATAACTACAGTATAAACCACCGGTGGGCTCTATGGTTGTTGAATAAATACACATGTGCCTGAGCAAGCGTCTGCAATAGGGATTGGTTAGCCGCCCTAGTCGAAGGGTATCCTCGAATACCAGTGACCAGCTCTACTATATGTATGTATGTTTGTATGTATGTGTGAGTGTGTACATGTGTGTGAGCGTGTATGCGTGTGCTTTAGAGGAATATCATGAATTTTGTGTAATCTAAACATTTCTTTAAATTCATGAAAATTTTCGTCATTTTTAAGCAGATAATGGATATTATTTCAATTAATTTAGTAAGCGTAGCTTTGACGTGGCACAAGGCCGAAAGAATAGGTCTTATTCATAATCTGATATTATTTCACTTTAACATATACGACATATCCCAATGGGTACAAGTGTTTTGGTAGACATCTACGTTTTTATTTTACAAACAGTACAATTAATAACTTTTCCTTTGTTTCCGGTTTAGGATTGGGTTTCCGGTTATTTCTAAAAGTCTGCTCATTCTCTTTCATTCCCAGTAGCTCTTTGCGTCTTAGCGGCATTATCGGCTTGTTTTGTTACCAAAAAAAATAAGGTTTGCAGATAAATGCTTTTAAAATGTCGTGTTTGGATAATATAGTGAAAAAAAAAGCAGAAACCGTTCTTATGAATCGGTGAATAATTTTATTGATGTATTGAATTTCTTGTATTTCATAAAAAATAAGAAATAAAATTACCTCCCTCGATCTTCTATAGAATTACTGTAAGACTATAGTATCAAGGTTTGACTAACTGATTGATTTGTTTTTACGGCTTATCAACCTTTTGCAGGTTATTTAAAGCCAGAAAGTATTGTAAGTTTTCTTTGGAGTATTCTCTGATTTAAGAAAGGACATCAAAAAGTTCTACAAAAGGAAAATATGTTTCCTGACAGGAATGCAAACGAGTATTCCCCTTTCCCATTAGAGAAACCACTTTTAATCCTAACGGGCATTACCCATTAGGCTACAGGAAGCCATCATGACAAAAGTAAGTTTCAATTGAAATATTGAAATATTTTTTGTTGATAATTTGCGAATTTTGTAACTGTTTATTTTCGTGCCCTGATACATAAAAAGTCATTATTAAGTAATTAATACATTTTTAATTATTTTCTTTCATTATTTCTTATGACTACAAACATTATATTCAGTGGATACTATTTGAGTTGAGATAATCTCAAAAGTTTTAAGGATTTAATAAAATCAGAAAGTGTGATACCCGGTTAATTTATTAATTTCTTCATGTGATAAACTTGCATTAACAGTTAATTTATCTGTCGCCTAAGTAATATATAATGTCTAAATAGACTTTTATCATCCATTACTAGTTTCGTTGTAATTATTGTTATAAGCATTAATGTGTGCATTTCAAAGGAGTAGCAACAAGTTGCCATGCGTCCAGGGTAAGACGATAAACTATGTCCGACAGCAAGACCTCTGATTAGAAAGTTTTGAGAAGCGTGGAACCACCTCTTAATTGCTGGTATTCCCAGGTCCACCCTGACCCTGAGTGGTAGCACCTGTTTGGGTCCCAGCTATGGGCAAATATTAACCCCAGAAAGTGTCAAAACACTATGATAGTATAAAAATAAATTTTAATGCCAGAAATATTTTTGAGAAATTATTACCAGCAGTACATTTTTGAAAAAGAAAATATTACTAACAATAAATTTTTGGGGAAAAAAAAAGTAATATTTTTTCGTTATTCTTCGTCATTTTTAAGCAGTTAATGGATATTATAGTTATTTACTAAGCGTAGCTTTGATATGGCAAAAGAATGGTTCTTATTCATAATCTTATATTTTTTCATATTAACATATACGACATATCCTAATGGGTATACCTGTTTCGGTAGACATCTAGATTTTTATTTTACCAATAGTACAATATCATATCCCTTGTTTCCCGTTTAGGATTGGGTTTCCGGTTCTTTTTTTTTTCTCTTTCACCCCAAGTAGCCCCTTGCGTCTTAGTGACATTATCACCTTGTTTTGTTAAAATAAATGAGGTTTGTAGATGAATCCTTTTAAAATGCCATGTTTGTATAATATAGTGAAAAAAAAACAGAAACATTTCTGATCACTAGGTAAATAATTTTATTGATGCACTGAATTCCTTGTATTTCATAAAAAATCTTGTCGGCATTAAAAATTTCTTTGGGGTTGATATGCCGTAAAACAGACCAAATCAAGCTAAACCAAAAACAAAACAAACCAAACCAAGTTGCCTGTTTTTGTTGTGTTTTCTTTGATATTTCTTTTAGGTTACATATTTGTTTTTGTTTTTCTATTATCTTTTTTACAAGTCCCAAGAGCCTCTGAAGGTAGAAAGTTATACACAAGATTGTAGCAGAGGAATCTAAGCAACTGAACTTCTTGAATTGGAAACATCATGCCTGATGAAGGCGTAGACACTGATATAAGCTTGCTCGTTTGGGAAGACAAAAAGACCCATTAGAAGAGCGAGTGACAAAGACTTCTAGGGGATTAACTGATATCCTCTCCTTCATCGTCTATAGAGTTATTCTAGGACCCTAGCACCAACGTTTGAATAATTGTTTATTTACGGTTTATCAACCCTTTGAAGGTTATCTAAAGCCAGAAAATATTTTTTTTACATTTTAAGTATGTTTTGAAGATTATAACTATTTACTGATACAAGTCCTACTAATTAACCCGCAGCTGGGGGGGAGACGATGTGGATTCATACATAACCCAATGGTATTTGCGCGTAAATGTATATAAAGAACACGACTAGAAATTTGATTTTGGCTCTCCGATCTCCAATTCCGAGCCGTTATCCATTACACCACCCGCACGTCCAAGCATACAGCACTTGATATTCTCAAGCGGTTACCCATCTAGATGGTTATCAGGCTTAACGTTGCTTAACTTCGTTGATCGTACGAAAACCAGTGTATAGCAATAAGGAAATGCCTATAGGAATATTAGGTGTAACCATATAATTACGACTGTAGGAAAACGAATCTAATTAGGCGTTATTGTTTTAAGTCTGAATGGCGTTTGCCTAAACGGGAATTGAGCTCGAAATTAATAGCAGAAGACCAAAAATATATTTAAAAACATACATTAATCTTATTTTTCTCATCTCCTTAGCTAAGGGAGTCTACTTCTAAACTCAAACGTAGAAGATTCCTTTATATGTTAACCCTGCCAACAAATACAGTTCCTTTCCAATCTGTTTCACGAAAAGCAAGCCGACTTTTGCTTCTAAAGTCAAATGAAATGAACTGACTAAAAAGCAGAAAAAATACAATAGATAAATAAAAAAAAATGTGTGCAAAATTACATCACCCGGTTGTCTATTCTTTTGGAAGAAAAAGTTTGACTTCAAAGGGAGCCCCAACTTATTAACATGATACCAAAATGTATAACGAAAAAGATATATAGATATAGCAAACTTCTATAGAAACCACTATACAAAGCTTAGAACGGCTCATGATCAAACATCATAGACATTCATTGTTATATTTAACAATATATGTTTGAATAATGACCTCCTGTCTAAATAAATACATATATATATATATATATATATATATATATATATATATATATATATAGAGAGAGAGAGAGAGAGAGAGAGAAACAGAGAGACCTACCAAGCTCTATCCGCAACATACTTGAGGAAAGTAGCAAGACTAATAATAAAAAAAGAAAACGCCATCAATCAATAACAGCAACTATGAACATGGTCACAATGTGTGGGCCGTGTTTGGAAAATGAAGCATTCCTATAACTCTAGATACATTCATAAAAAAAATACATGCAGTTAAAAATAAAAATCGCCCTTGATAATGGCTAAAAGAATAGCCGAAAGTGCTTGGATATGAATAACATTTGAACATTTTTTACACATGTTATGTCCAGAAGCGAAAACAATTATAAAGACACAAGAAAAATAAAAAATAAAAACTTAATCAAAATACCTTGTCAGTCTTCTTTAATGAAACACACACCGTGCGATGACAGCCTAGGTGTAGAATCTCTGATCGGATTTCGATCCCAACTTGAAGCAATCGGACGTCTAGCTACACTGAACAGCTGTGATAAAGCGAAACAGTCTGTCTTTGAAGAAATGGATTTTTATTAATCTGACAGATTGTTTATCACTGAACGTTATGTTTTAATGGATACTCGTATTTGAGTAGACGATCCGTTTATTTACTGAACGGTACATTTTTTTTTCGCCTACCGGCCGGAATGTTCTGAAATTTCATGAAAGAAAAATTTATGCAGTCCGGCAAAATTTGAAATATCACGTTGAAACACCTGCTCTCGTGCGATCCGCGAGGTTAAGCATGGTCGACTCTGGTCAGTACCTAGGTGGGTGACCGCTTAGTAATACCAGCTGTTGTAATCTTGGATATGCCGGAGTTTAATGGATAATGGTTCAGAATTGAAGAAGGAAGAGCCGAGTTCCAATTCCGATCGGGTTTGTTATATTAAATAACGAGCTAATACTTTTTGTTAAGGTATGAATCTACTTCTTCTTCTCCCCAGCTATGGGTTAATTAGTAGAAATTATTGCAATTTAGCAATACTTTCTGGTTGTAAATAACCTGCAAAAGCTTGATAATCCGGAAAGGCAAATCAATCAAACAAATGAAATAAGCAAAAATTAAAATTATTTCAATGCTGCTTTCTTGAGTGTAAAAATATCCTTTTCGATTTATTGACAGTTGTCACATATAGGAACAGTGTTATTTTTAAACATTTAATTAAATCCATTATGATTTCTTTTATAGTGATTTACAAGACGTATCTTAGAGGTGGTTCAAGGCCGAAAGTATGGAGCACTAGCAAAGATCGAATTTATTGCTCAGTCGTAATTGTTCTGCTAACCATTGCACCACGTCCGATTGCCACGTCTACTCAAATATGGGTAACCACTAAAAATATCGTTTAAAGTCGTTAGAACGTTCGCTTTCTAACCATGAGACCCGAGTTCAAATCACACCATGGTCGATTTGTCAGGAAGGAGACTTCCTAACGTTATCGGTCTGGAGGGGTCGATCCCAGCGTGCGACACGTTTGAAAAACCATTCTGAAAACCTAAACACAGGGTTTACCCAAGCCTACTGAGTGAAATTCGATAGCTGTGCTAGCACGTAGTTACAAGTCATCGTGACCGAGGGTTTGAGTGTGCTGGTGTTGTTCAGATTGTTGATCATTCTAGATTACACGCTCTCGCCCAGAAACTGTAACTAAGGTCTGCTCAGCATAGTTACAGTATAAACCACAGGTGGGTTCTGTGGGTGTTGAACAAACACAAATGTGCCTGAGCATGAGTCTGCAATAGGGATTGGCTAGCCACCCTAGTAGACGGGTATCTTCGAATACGTGTGGCTAGTTATTATTATGTATGTATGTGCCTGTGAGTGTGTATGTTCGTGAAGATCATGACACGAGGAATTTCCCGCAATCTGGACATTTCTTTAAATTCGGGAAAATCTTTCGTCATTTTTAGCAGTTAATGGATTTACACGGCGTAGCTTTGATGTGGCACAAGGCCAAAAGAATGGGCTTTATTTATAATCTGTCATTATTCCACATTACCATAAACGCTATATCCTGGTAGTTACATGTGTTTTGGTAGACCCCATCCTCCTTTTATTTAACAAACAGTACAATTAATATCTTATCACTTGTTTCCTGTTTAGAAGTGGGTTTTCGGTTCCTTCTAAAGTCTTTTAATTCTCTTTCAGTTCCAGTAGCCCTTGCATCTTAGTGGCATTATCGCTTTGCTTGGACTGAACTGATTAAGAAAACAATATAGAAATTTCTTACTAACATGACAGGAATGGTAACAGGTATTCCCATTCCTATCAGAGAAACCGCTTTTAACCCTAATTGACCTTGCTACGAAAAGCTACCATGACAAAATAGAGCTCAATTGAAATATTTCAGAAATGTGTATCTTTTGTCGATACTTTTTGAATTTTGTACCTGCTAAATTTATTTTCGTGTCCTGATACATAAACAATGTCCTTTTTTTAGTAAATAATAAAATTTTATTTTATTTATCATGACTATAAACGTTATAGTCAGTGTGTACGTTGTTTAAGTAGACTTCCTTGTTTTGTTTTTTTTTTAATTGAAAAATGAATGTATAGCGGGTTAGAATTCGAGAATTCCTACAAAAAAATATGCAAGAAACTTGTTATATAGAAATAAAGTGTTGTTGCCGACACTGTAGTTTGAACATAGATCGCCAGAGAGCTAACACAGGTGATTCCATTTTGAATAAGTAGATCACGTTATAGTACGGTAATGTATATATGGGAATTAACGTGGCGTCTAATTGATCACCATTTCTATTCTATCTTCTATTGCTATACGGATCGCTATTCTCTCTAATATTCTCTATACTGATCACTCTATACTGATCACTATATGGATTACTAAACAGATCACTATTTAGTGGTTACTTTCGAGCGAGTATTATCCGGCAAGTACTATTACTGCGAGGGCTATTCAAAGGCGCCTGACACCAGCATTGTTGAACGGCGTTACTAGAGTTGTATCTGCGATTACAAAGGCTCTACTACAATGAGCATTACGAAAGTGACAACGAGTATTCGTTGACATTACAACAGTCGCAACAAAAACTGTATTCCCCTTTTCCATCAGGAAACCACTTTAAAGCTAAGTGTGCCTTACCTCTCAGGCTACAGGAAGCCATCATAACTAGGCAAATCTTAATTATACTATATAGTACAAATATAGTACATGAATTACCGCGGATAAACAATTTGCTTTGTTATAATGATCCCTCATATACTTATTTATGTGTCGTGTCCTCCTCAGGACGTAGTCGATCATGGTTCTCCACAATTTCCTGTCATTTGTAGCTCTTATTAAATTATATCTTTCTGTTATTTCCCTTAAACCCTATTCCGCTATACAGTTACTCAAGCTCACTGAGTATGTTACCCCTTGCCCTCAATCTGCTCTGTGAATATCAGATTTTCCTCATTATATGCCCTAGAAACTTCAATTGTCTCTTCCTGATGTTAAGTATTAGTTTCCTTTTTATTGCCATTTTCTGTAAAATGTCGTCTTTGCTAACATGCTCGGTATCCCCAACATCCTTCTGTAGAACTACAGTTCTGATTCTTGAAGTCTCAGGAGGACAGATATACCGTAAGAGTTTAGTACTCTTTTCCTTGTTTCTAGAGAAGCTTTTTTTTTTTTCTATGTCTTTGTACTCTGCTAAGTTTCGGTATCTTTGGCCATCACAGAACCCCTTTTAAATTTTTGTACTTACAAAGCTTAAAAGTCGTTTCCAGCAGTGAAAAAGAGAATCGACTTACAATTTGTTTTGGGATGCACATTTTCTTTAGTAGTACTTCTCGATCTCTAGGCAGGCAGACATTAATTTTTATGCTTCAAAAGAAAACAAAGCTAACTACTTAAACACGTGTACCCATTATTATCTTTTTGGTCGGACATTCATATGTCTATCACGCCAACCAGCACGGTCCTGCATCAAGGCCGGAAGGACATTAGAGTGGCATTCTGTGTCATAACATAGGTCGTCTATATAGGTGATTGCTGAGCGACCAAGCCGTCTTGATCTAGGGCTAGGTGTCCACAACAGTAGAGCACACGCAATTTCTTGTTTTGCTCGCCAACAGTGTCCTACAAAACGCATTCTGAGTTTACGTAAAACTGTAAAAATACCAGGGATGGGTCCATAGATTTTTGTTGTATGTTGTCTCCAATAGATAAGTATAACTCTGAACACCCGAGTATAGGTTCCCTAAAGCTTAAACTATATGGTTTTAGTTAATGTCCAAGCAGTGGCACCGTATATTAAAATAATTTCTACAGTGGCACGTTTGAGGTTGTCTGTCAGATCATATTTCCAGATTACATCCATTTTATTTAAGGCGGCACAGGCTTTATCTATTTCATATCCTTTTCAGTAGAATTTATCTCGCTTCTTTGGTATGTAAAAGCCTCGACATATTTTATTGATTCTCCTGAGACAGTTTTGTATTGAGCCTTGCAGGTTGAAAATTAATAACCTTTATAGCAAGAATAAATATATAGAAATATAATTCCAGACTGTTTTATTACATAATGTTGAAAATAGAAAGATGTCTTCGGTGTTCTGGCGTACAGATCGATTTGTTTAACGATTAATCGTTGTCGTAATTAGTATTTTTCCTGTTTCTGATAATTCTGCAATTAAGAAAACTCTTTTTCCAGACATACCTCCAAATATACATTACGAATATCAGCATTTGTTAATCCCATAAAGATTTAGTGCCAAAACAGTTGCCGATTGAGGAAGTAAACTTCATATTCTATATTTGCTATGAAGATTACGACTTTAGGTCCTATTATAAAAATCGGATACGTCAACGTTAAAATATAATCTGTTCCCATCGCCGAATCAAGGCGATAATGTCACTAAGACACAAGGAGATATTGGGAATAAAAAAGAATAAAGAAATTTTAGAATGAACCGGAAACCCGATGCTAAACAGGAAGCAAGAAAACCTCTACGCCTGTTCAAAAAACAAAGGAGGTGCATGAACCGGGCGATAGGCGAATCTGTCTATTCTTAATAAGGAGGGAAAAAACTAAATAAATAGTAAATAAAATTCTATACTCTCAGTGGGGAACGTTAGAAATATAGAGTTGAAGTAAACTTTAGAAGGAACCGGAAACCCAATCCTACACAGAAAACAAGGGATAAACCTCTACTCCTGTTCAAAATATCCACGATTGAATAACGAAAGAGAATCATCGTAATCTGCGATTGTTAACATCTATGGTAAAGACCAATATTCTCCCCCTCGTTATAGCTTGCGTATGAACAAAGATTGTACAATCATATGTCAATGTTACAGGTTCGTAACTAGTCTTGAAAAAAAAAAAAAAAAAACGTCATGCTGCTTTGGACATCAAGACACATTGCACGGTTTGTAGCTCTCCACAAGTGCAGTTTGTGTCTTGTGCAAACCTTTTATTTCCCGTATCCGGGACGGAGATAATTTATTTCGACCCATTGATCATGGTCCTGTGAACAGGGAGATATTTCAGGGATGAAAAACTTTTGTTTGTTAACAATGTTCTTGATTGCCACATATGGTGCGCCCATTTTTTTCAAGAGTACCAGCAATGTGTTCAGCATAAAGCCACCAGCGACGTGTTCGGCATAAGGCCACCAGCGATGTGTTTTGCATAAGACCACCAGCGGCGTGTTCAGCATAAGACCACCAGCGGCGTGTTCCGCATAAGACCACCAACGACGTGTTCAGCATAAGG